GAAAGCCACCATTGACCCAACCAGAAGCAACAAGGACCTGAAGTGGAAGGAGGTGGAATGAGAAGGGAGGACTCACCTTTTTAATCAGCAGGTCGTTGTTCACTTTGATGTCAATGTTGACCGGCGTGTGGGGAAAGGCCTCAAACACCTCTTGAAGGAGAGGGATGCGTTTGTCTTCACCTTCGCAATGGCATTCTGATGTACACAAGCAGAATTTGGTTGCTGCTGAGGACATGGGGGAAGTTATTGGCAGCTGCTGTGGGATGGTTGGCACCCAGCCTCCCCCGTAAAAATAACCTTGGATTTGTCATTCCCAAAAGACAGAGGAAGGTGGAGCCCTTGGACCAATCTCCAAGGGTTGGTCCCTGTGATGTCTCCCTTGAATGACTCCTCAGGTTCTTCCACGGAGGTTAGCTCAAGGGAGGATGAGCTCATTTCTGGCACACCATGAACTGGGTTAATAAACGACTCTGAACAGCCAGCCAAAAAAGATTTACAGAGGGCTTTGGCTGGGGACAGCCTGCAGGGGCGGACAGTCAAGTGAAGAGGAGGAGGAGCTGCCTTCTGTTGTGGATCCGAGAGCAAGCAGGGCAGAGAAAAGACAAAAGCAACGGAGATCTGCAAGGTTACTCAGGAGAAAGCCTGCCCATCTTGATGGGCTGCACCGGAAAACTATTTACCACAACAGGCAGAGGGGGGCATGTGCTGGGAACAACATGTTTAGTTTCTAGTTGTGTGTGTTTGTGCTTCCTGCTGGACTTTGGAAATTCTGAATTTGTCTTGTGGGTGATTGATGACTCTTGGCTATGGATGTGTCCCATTGGAGAATATGAATTATGAGAAAAATCAACCAATGGAACAGCTTGCCCTTGGACGTTGTGGGAGCGCCATCACTTGAGACTTTCAAGGAGAGATTGGACTGCCATTTGTCAAAAATGGTGTAGAGTCTCCTGCTTAGGCGGGGGGTTGGACTAGATGACCTGCAAGGTCCCTTCCAACTCTGATTATCTGTTATCTGGGGTCCCCAACCTGTGGGCCATAGGCCACTAATGGCCATGGCTTAATTGCCACTGGTTTGTGTGAACAAGCATCGCTGTGTCGCGGATGGTCTGGCACTCACTAACGTGAGTGTTGCCAAAAGCGTTGTGGGCAGTCCAAATCCACTTGTGTGAGTGTCCCAGTCATTCGTGACCTCATTCGCACAAATGTTGTCGTGGGTGCTTGTGGTCCCAACTCGTTTGAATATCATCATGGGTGCTCGGGGGTCTCACTCGCACGAACTTCGTTGCGGGTGCTTGCAGTCCTACTCGCATGAGCATCATCACCAACATCATGGGAGCTCGTGTGCACATGTGCACCTATGCCAAATGAAATCATCCCCTTTCCTCCCTCACCCCACTCTGGGCTGCCAACCCTAGGTTGGGGAACTCTGGTGTAGTGGAATGTAGTCTGGATTCCCAGGAGGAGTTGCTTTCCAGGAGGGGGTGGAGCTTGGAAACTGGTCTGCAGGAAGAAAGTTAAGATGGCTCCTCCCTAGCTATTCCCAGAGTGTATCTGTGCAAATCGTTGCTTTTAATCTGGCACGATTCTGTCTATAGGTGTAGAACAATAAAGAAAACTACAGATAGTCCTTGACTCTTGTTTAGTGACCAATCGGAGTTAAAATGGGATTGGAAAAAGTGACTTGTGACTATTTTTCATACTTACAACCATTTCGGCATCCTCATGGCTAGGTGAATGAAATTCGGATGCTTGTCAACTGGCTCGTATTTATGACGATTGCGGTGTCCCGGGGTCACGTGATCCCCTTTTGCGATTCCTGACAAGGAGTCAATGAGGGGAGCCAGATTCACTTAACAACTGTGTTACCAACTTAACTGCAGGGATTCACTTAACAACTGTGGCAAGAAAAGCAGTAAAATGGGACAAAACTCACTTAACAACCATTTCACGTAGCAACAGAAGTTTCGAGGGTTAATTGTAGTTCGAGGACTACCTGAATTTGGGGGTAAGGCCACCTCTTGTTCTTGGGATCGTAGGGCCTAATGTGTCAGGCACAAAGGATCAGGACCGTGTGTTAAGTGGCAGTGCAGGAGGTTTATTATTTTCAGCCTACACACAAGGAACTAATTAAATAAGTTTCCCCGAAAATGCAACCTATCCTGAAAGTAAGCCCTAGCTTGACTTTTTTTACATGTGTGCCCAATGAAAGTCCTATCCCTAAAATAAGCCCTAATTGAGATTCCTCCCACTCCAGGGTGCACGGGTAAAATTTAAGCTAGGTTGGGGATGGGAGATGGTGGAGCTGCCCTACTGCTTACCTTTGGACAATTGTAGCCAGGCTTCGACACCTGCCTTGCTGGTCCATTTCTTCTGCAGCCGGCAAGGCTGGCCAGGTGAAGGCCTCTGTAGCCAGATCGATCCAGAGCTTGGTTATTGGCTGCAGAGGCTTTCAGGAAAGCCTCGCCGGCTGCAGAAGAAGTTCCTGAAGATCTCTGATAGCAAAAAGGAGGGCGGGGTGGGGGATGGCAGACACGTGCAAGTGAGGTTATCAGTGGATGACATCCCCAGAAAATAAGACCTGGTGCCTTTTTTGGTGGCAAAAAACAAAAAAACAAGACAGGGTCTTATTTTTGGGGAAACACAGTAGAGTCAGTGTGATGACCCAGGGCAAGGCATGGAAGCCACACAGCCAGAGACGAGTTCTAACTCCCCTTTATTGCTCCAACTTCCTCCCAAATGTTCCCACGATTATGGCAAGTCCCTGAGCAAAAGGCTCACCCACACACCTCCAGCAGCCTCTGGCTGCAAGTGGTCCAGCAAAACGCTGTTATGACAGGCAAGAAATCCAGCGAGGCAAGGGAACAAGCCAATGACTCCACAAAGGAAAGAAACTGTCGACCCTGAAGGTGAGAATTGTTCCATTATAGTCATTTCTATTTCTTTCTTAGCTTCTTTAATGTTGTGTAAAAGGGACCGTGGGTATTCAGGCTCGGCACATTCTAGCGGATGGGAGGAGGGAGCATAGATAAGGGGGGGGGGGGGTTTTGGCTAGGTGAAATTCTTTTCCCGTGGGAACAGAGAGTGCGCCTGCAATTGCCTAGAGGTTGAATTTGGAGTCATTGGACAGATGAACTGTGTGACCTGATTGGAGAATGTGACGGTGGGGGGAAGTTTCAAACTATGCTTTTACTGGGTGTAATTCCAGGATTTGGTCAGATCCAGAATTACACCAAACTTTGCCAATTTGATATGTTCCCAATTTTAAAAAAAAGACTTTGTTTGGATAATGGTTGTGTTGGACTATCCTTTGTGGAACATATGACTTGGAATCTTGACAGGAACTAAGGCAAGAAGTCCAGCAAACTCCAGACATCAGCAACGGCACACAAAACTCCACCAATTCAGTGTTTGTTCCCGACAAAAAACTCCACCAATTCAGT